CATAAATAACAATAAATTGAAGATATATGTGTACCGTTTTAGATTTTTAAATATTTGTTATTGTTAACTTTTTTTAAAGGATAATAAACAAAGTATTGCATGAAATGAAACATCAATTTGTATTTTGACATTTTCTGTCTTAGCTTGGGCTTAGCTTAATCTCACCGTTAAAATGTCTATAAATACGAAATCATAGTTTAACCTTAGTGTACACTAAGCAAAGTTTTTCGTAAGGTAAGTCTGAGCAAAGTCCAAGTGCGCACTATAGATCTCACCCTTAGACTTTGCTCTGACTTAACTATCGAGCTAAGACACAGTCGGTATTTATAGAGCAAACTACGAATCTCTCCCTAGTGTTGGCTTAGCTTAATCTCAAGTCCACGAAATCGACGACTTACCAAAAACTTTGACTATAAGCCTAACAAAAATAATGGCCCAAAATTTGCTTTACCATCATATCTTTTACTGGACTTTTTATTTTTGTCGGTTTTTAATGAACGGTGTTGCCATTTTGTATCGGAGTTCCATAGACTTTGGGAAAAATAGAATTTGAATTCAAAGAAATTATAAATGATCTTGATAAATACCTATGAAATGCATGAAATAAAATAATTACACATTATTATGGTATTTATTGTTGTTTATTTATATTATTTATGTAATTGTTCAAACCCCATTTTTGAGAAATCTTAAAAATAACTGGTGTGATTTTGTATGTCACCTGGCAGCCCTGGCAATTGGCATATTATAGTGACAACGAAATTCAAACTATAACCTAACCAAAACATTGCGATCCGTTCTACGTAATAAAATTATTGTCATCTTTAAATAATTAATACATTTTCTAAAGGTTACTCGTGAATTTCTAGTTATTGCAATAATAAAATAAATGAATACATAAATAACAATAAATTGAAGATATATGTGTACCGTTTTAGATTTTTAAATATTTGTTATTGTTAACTTTTTTAAAGGATAATAAACAAAGTATTGCATGAAATGAAACATCAATTTGTATTTTGACATTTTCTGTCTTAGCTTGGGCTTAGCTTAATCTCACCGTTAAAATGTCTATAAATACGAAATCATAGTTTAACCTTAGTGTACACTAAGCAAAGTTTTTCGTAAGGTAAGTCTGAGCAAAGTCCAAGTGCGCACTATAGATCTCACCCTAAGTGTCGGAACATATGTATGGAAAAGTATTTGAAAGAACGTGTTCGTATATATAAACAAAAAATATTATTTATCAGAGATTTTATTTGTCTTACAGTTATATTTCTAATCATACGTAGAATGCTCACGAAATGGTCACAAGACAAATTCTATTACCATTACCAGTAGGGTGTGCCCACTGCCCATACGCCACAAGGCTACGAATCTTTATAGTGATTATATGAAACGTTCCAGCGTGGTAGCGTTCTGCGGGCGAGTCGTATCGATCGGACCCGCCCTTGACATTCGTTGGACTGGGGTGGCGAGGGTACGCTGTACACATAGGGCTGCCCGCCTGCACGCCAGCTTCTTTAACCAATTATTTGTGAATTATTTATAGTTTAATAGCACGAAAACACGAACCGACATCGATTTTAATATTCAGCTACAGTTACTTTACCGCTACGGATGTGGAAAAAGCTACTGTGAACTAGGGTTTCATCGTTAGATGACGCCATCAAGAATTTTTATAAATCGTCACCTATAATTAATTATCTTTATTAGAAATACACAACTTATGATATATGTATATATATAATATATAAACTTATGATCTATTTACAAAATAATTAGGTACACTTAATTTTATTAAAACAAATTTTAAAAGTTTGGTCCCTATGGCAGTGTACCTATATTTACAAGTACATTTTTAATTTTCTGTTTATCAATTTTTAATTATTATTATTATTAGTACTATGTAGGTTAAGAATATTGTAGATACTGTATCTTTTAAATTAAATATTCAAAGATAGATCTGATTACACTTAGCAGTTAAATTATGTCAATAAATTTGAGAATTATTCTAATCAATATAAAAAGAATAAGATTCAAGATACAACGGAAGTACTTACCAGGGTTCGCTTATTCAGAATAGAAAAAACTTAAATCTCAACCCTACCCTTTAAGAACAAAGCTTCATTAATATTACTAGTGGCAGTGTTAGTAGTGTCTCATTGTTAGACGACATCCGTCTTAGTTTCCTCTATTAAAATGCCATATGTTTCTGAACTAAACTCCAGAACCAATAAAAAAACGTGTGTGTATGTACACGCGTTAGAAGTTATACTTCTTTGGCGTAACAAGATAAAATTCTTTTCAAAAATTTTATTCTACATATTTTGTAGAAAAAACGACACTAACAATAGAAAAAACTAAAATGTTGACTATAGCTAGGTTGTGACGTGCGCGCGCATCGTAAGAATTTACTCTTATAATTTTTCACTAACGCGCCAAAAGAAGTATAACTTAAAAATGTAACTAAGGCTGCTTAGCCGTACTTATATTATGGTACATTCCGTTTGTGGACCGATAAACCAACATACTGTAAGTTTGTATAAATTACATGAAAACGAAGATATTGGAAAGGAAATGGAATCCTATTATATTTGTTTAGCCTACCTTCAGTAATATAGTAAAGCCTTACCTACTTTGTTATTTAGATCATGCGACGATAGCCTAACTCGGTATCAGACAGTTGGCGAGACAATGAACGTGTCTTGTCTGGCTTCTTTGCAAATAATGTCTTAACTGCAAATTCATACTGCATCGCTGACTATCAAATGGCATGGTTTTACGGGTGCAACTTGTCAAACTTGGTGGTGGTAAAAAGCTTTTATATCACACCGCATTCATCAGATTTCGTTTAATTATTATTAGGTTAATTTAAAAAAAATAAGTTTTTAAGGAAGTAGACTCTTGGGCCGTCGGGTTCAAGTGCACAGGCGTTAATTAAAGATTTAACTTGGCTGGTAGATAGTACCGGTGGCCACAGAGCTGGTTTTCTCGCTCAAGGAATAAGTATCGCAATACTGCAAGGCAATTATTGTGGAAATTCTGCCAGCATTAAATGTACATTGTCACAGGAATCAACGTTAAAATTTGTTTTATTTTTCTATTTATCAATTATTTTTATTATTATTACTATGTAGGTTAAGAATATTGTAAATACTGTATATTTATTAACTAATTTTATTTAAGACCTCCAAAACAACATAAGCATTAGATAACAAATCTATATAATGATTTGTCTTTGACAACAATAACAATGCATGTAGGCAGTCCATAAAATATTAAATGCTATAAGAATTTATTATTTAATGTAATTGTTACCAAGTGAGTGTTACAGATTATCAACAACAGGGATGATTACCGTCACCAATAGACAAAATACTATGCTTCTACTACGTCCGGGAATAACCGTTCTGTGACGTCACGTGCAGACGAAACGCAGACGCATGGTGGGTGTGTTCTCTAATTATAAACTATCTACACTAGGTCAGGTAAAAATAACCGAATTTGCTTTCCACGCGCCACTCGTGTGTATTCTAATTTCGTAAAGGGAAACAACTGATAAGAGTTAATGCTTTATTTGTACGTCGTTATTGTTATTATCTGTTTCTGATCATAGATTATATTTGCTCTCTAGAGTCTAGACTGTTTCGTATTACATACTTTTGCTTTATACCACGTAAGAAGAGCTCTAGGGTTTAGTGTAATCGTTAATATTGATATATTATATTAACGTATTGTTTTTATCATCCGGTTAATATTTAAAGACCAAAAACATCAGAGTCCCTTCGAAAAACGTTTTTTTTAATTTGACTAGCAATCTCTATTTAAGGAGACTGGCTAAGATGTTAAGTCTAGTGCTAAGTATGGTTCCAGTGTGTCAAAAATGTTGCAATGTCATTTTGCAGCTATCAATGCCGAGCCGATACTATAGGAGTATTAAGAGTATTCAATCTTTTATGTTAATACATAATATGACAAAGGCTAATGCTCCCTCCTAAAGGGAAAAATACATGACGGTATGAAGACTCGTTATTTTCAATTTTAACGAGAGCGAAATCAACAAAATAAATTTAAATTGACATAAAACCGACGACTATAACTCAACATGTTAAGGATAACTAAAATACATTATTCCGCCATTTGCTAATTGAAATTATTTCCCTGTTTTATCACCCCACCGCAAAATACTGTTAATTTAGACAACATGATTTCCAATAGTTGATTTTCCTGTAAATAAGTTATTCCTGCTGTTTGGTAACTCCTCTATAAATACATTTGTCCTTCCTAAATTATTAAAAGTTAGCACTTAGGAGTAAACCCTTGGTTTGTTTTTCATTTAATCGAGTGAACCTAATCTATTGTCGCGAGAAATCTAAATCAGAATCACTTCCTTACTCTTCGTTACCAAGCGAAGGCAAATTAATTAGTATATTTAATTCGAAGGACGTGATAACTCAGGTAATTGACCTTTGTTATGGGCGTTTGCCTCACCCAGGTTATTCAAGAATTCCATTAGTAAGATTAGGTGCACTAATCGATCGTATCTGACACGCCCTTCCTGGTACAAAACTTGTAGCTGTATTCATTTCAGTCTGGCCGGCCGCCGTGTATCGATAATTTACCAATAAAGTTCAATTACCCAAAATTAATGTATGACGAATATTTCTAAATCCGGAAAACCGAAATCCGGTTTAGTAGATTGGAAATCATTGGGGCATATAGTTCCAGATCTATTATAGGTTTGATTTTAAAGTGAAAGATAAAGGAAACGACATATTTATACCGGTATAATAAATTATTTTATTACAAATGTTAGTTGCAATAAATAAATTAAAAATCTTTGTCAAAAACGTTTTTACGTAATATGCATATTACGATACCTTACAACCTATTTAAATACTGTACTTAAATAATAGATCACAAGCGTAGTTTGAGCCGCCCAGCTGGGGTCTCGGTGTAGGGCATCATATGTTACTGTTATTAGTCTCATTAGGCATTTAGAAGCACTTCCTGTGCACAATGGAGGGGCCAGATTCATCGTACTCCTGTTTCGAGATCCACATCTGCTGGAAGGTCGACAGCGAGGCCAAGATAGATCCTCCGATCCATACGGAGTATTTCCTCTCAGGGGGAGCGATGATCTTGATCTTCATCGTAGATGGCGCTAGAGCTGTGATTTCCTTCTGCATACGGTCGGCGATTCCTGGGTACATTGTGGTACCACCGGATAATACTGTGTTGGCGTATAAGTCCTTACGGATGTCAACGTCACACTTCATGATGGAGTTGTATGTGGTTTCATGAATACCGTTGGCTTCCATACCCAAGAATGAGGGTTGGAAGAGGGCCTCAGGACAACGGAATCTCTCGTTTCCGATGGTGATGACCTGTCCGTCGGGAAGTTCATAGGACTTCTCGAGTGAGCTGCTAGAGGCGGCGGTGGCCATCTCCTGCTCGAAGTCAAGAGCCACGTAGCAGAGCTTTTCCTTGATGTCTCTTACGATTTCACGCTCGGCCGTGGTGGTGAATGAGTAACCGCGCTCGGTGAGGATCTTCATTAGGTAGTCGGTAAGGTCACGACCGGCCAAGTCCAGACGCAGGATAGCGTGGGGCAAGGCGTAACCCTCGTAGATGGGGACCGTGTGGGAGACACCATCACCGGAGTCGAGTACGATACCGGTGGTACGACCGGAGGCGTACAGCGAAAGCACGGCCTGGATGGCTACGTACATAGCGGGGGTGTTGAAGGTCTCGAACATGATCTGGGTCATCTTCTCTCTGAAACGAAATTGGCACCATTAGACACTGAAGATTCTAAATCTAAAATCTTGTAAATGTTTTTAAAGTTTGACGGAGATATGTACCTGTTAGCCTTAGGGTTGAGGGGAGCCTCTGTGAGCAGGACGGGGTGTTCCTCGGGAGCTACACGAAGCTCGTTGTAGAAGGTGTGGTGCCAGATCTTCTCCATGTCATCCCAGTTGGTAACGATACCGTGCTCAATGGGGTATTTTAGAGTGAGGATACCTCTCTTGCTCTGGGCCTCGTCACCTACGTACGAGTCCTTCTGTCCCATACCGACCATCACTCCCTGATGACGGGGCCTGCCCACGATTGAGGGGAATACGGCCCGGGGAGCGTCGTCACCCGCGAAACCGGCCTTGCACATACCGGATCCATTGTCTACTACCAACGCGGCTACTTCTTCGTCGCACATTTTGAATTAGTCTGAAATAATTATTACCCTATTAATTTGCCTTATTCCTTTATAACACCTCTTATCGCTTAATCATAATCTTTTTATTAGTACAATCGTTATCATGTCCGCATATAGTCATCGCTACGTGAGCTAGTACTGATAAGGTAATGACGTTATTAAAATTACACAACGAATGACACGTAACTATAAATGTTTAAAATGATATCGAGGTTATTTCCAACATACTAAAACAACCTTATATTATGCTCCATGAATCGCTAATAAATTCAATGCCAAACGCAATAACAACTAAATTATTTCATCAGAAATGTTTGAATTTAAAAATTTTATATGCAATTAATGTATGAATTTGTTTTTTCATTAATATTTTCTCAGAAAACACTAACGTGTATTTGGTTGTATAATAAATTTCACATTATGGAATCTGATAAGAAATTACATAACCAGCTACCACAAAACGCCTATTATTTATGTACACAAGACATTCCAGCTAACACTGCACAATTATACATATTAATATGAACCCGTTATAAACACTATAAAATAAAATAAATGAACTTACATTTAATAAATTATTTTATAAAAATTCGTACGACTGCCGCACAAGCCAGCACTTTACTAAATGAGAGTCGAATGCAGAGGATAATGTATATAAAACGCAGCTTATCACACACATTACTATCTGTTACTTTTCCACCAATCAGAATTTACGTTACCATATTTGGTGATGGAGCTGTGTTTCCATATGTAACGTTGCCTTGATAAGCTATAGTGGTAATAACATTTTATCAATGATAAAACTCCGTATATCGTATTCAACTGGTAACAAACTGAGACATTGTACTGATGTAACCGCGAACAAATACAAGTGGAAGTACGGGACTAAATTCCATTGGAATATGAAATGAGTGTTTGTTACTCATTCTGTTATAATGTTTACGACGATTAGAGAACCGATGCGAACAGGAATTTACATAACGGCTGGTAATAACGCTGAACTTATACTGGAAGTAACTCTGTCGATTAAAAGCCTAACCTCTCAATAAACAAAAATTTACGCCGCCCAATAGTCGATTTAATTTGCTCAAATAGTAATATATTAAGACTGAAAGTTTGTCTCAACAACGCTGCAACTCAACTACAAAATGCCCAATGTATCGTATCGTAAAATAGGTGTATCTATAGTTAAATTAAGTAAATAGTTAAACCTCTCAATAAAGGACTTTAAGTATCTATGCCAAAGGTGCAAGATAGGACAACATACACACTTTTCCCTTTATTTATATATAAGTTACATCATAGAAACGATTTTGAATCATATGTGAATTACAAGACTTATGACGTGCAGTTTTGTTTTGATTTAAATCGTTAACACATTAAAACTCATTAGTATATATTTACGAAAATAAACCATACCATTCCAATTTAAATAAGTATTTGATATATTGAAAAAAATACAGAAAAATAACTGTTATTAATTGATGTATAAATATCCAAAATTTCCTTAAACCATATGTTACTAAATATTCTAAGAATAATTTATTATTAATTTATGACGTGTTTAATCATCAACCGCTTTACTCGGAACATTCTTTTATCACACTGATATCGGATTTCGATCATTGATATTATATCAATCCTGTTATTCACCAAGATATATAATATATATATATATATATATATATATATATATATATATTTAAAATTGTATTGTAAATGAGTGTATAATAACAGATTCAAATAGTTTCAAAAAACTATGGCGTCTGTTCTGTGGTGATAAAATACGTAAAAAATTACACATTTTCTAGTATATTTATTCGGTTGTTAGATATAAAACAGTGCTTATAATTTCTCTCTATTTATTATGAATGTTTCAGTCAATTTTCGCGATTAAATAACCTTGGATTGCCTTGGGTCAAAAGTGAATGACCGCATTTTGCACTGAGGATAATCCGAATTTTACAATACCAATAAAACTAAAATTTATCCAGCGTTTTTTTTACGATTCAGAGAGTCTCGACTTACGAAATTTAGATGGATTTAAAATTCGCTTTAATTAAGTTATGGTCTTGGTGCGTGAAACAATTAATTGGGCGTAAAATATTATATTACAGTTACATTTTTGTATATTTTAAGCTAATGACCGTCGTGATAAAATTCTGCCTTTATTTCTCATTTGAGACTATTTTTTAAGACTAACTCATTACTGTACTAATACAATATACACCCCGGTAATGTGTGTACCCCGGTGGCAAAGCTTCATATCATAATCGAAACGAATAACGACTCGTTACAATCACGTGTAATAAAGTAGATTAGTTATATGTTTTTAATATAACATTAAAGCGAAATAAATGTAACGAAAGAACTGGCCTGAGTTTATTAAGTGAAATTAATAATTTTTTATAAATAAATTTACTTCGTTAAATCAGTCGTGCTAATTCCGTAGACTCGAGTTCAATAGCTTTCCATATCTATTGCCTCAAAATAAGTGAATAAATCTTAAGATATTCTTTATTATCACGCTTTATTACTGGGCTAATTGGTATTACATTTCACCGCATCTCATACGGAATGATAAATACATGGACTTTCACCCTGACTTTGCATTTTTCTGTCTACTTTTACTGTAAACTTGACCGTTACTATTTCGCTTATTCACATTAGTTAAGAATTTTTTTTTTAAATTTTGAGTCGGTTTGAATTTATTACGAGGAAATCGCCCAACTTAGTCGTCAGTTGTTTTCATTAATCATAAGCAAAATATTGGTTCTTCCAAGCTTTTTATCTTTGTAGTGTATTGTTCGAATAACAAGAATAGTATTAGCTACAACACAGCTACCTACTTCGTGTGCCTTTAAAAGGGCATGGTGAAGAGTTTTCGCTGCGCGTTGCGGCTGCTATTTCGGGAATGGAACCCAGGACCGATGTGCATTACCATAAAGCCATAGAGGCGGTAAAACTTAGTATATTGTTTAAAAAAACAGTGAAGCCAACAAATTTCCTTGTCCGTCAATATTCATTCTTTAAGAAAATTTGCTGAATTTTGGGCGGACGAAGAGTAAACTATAGACAATAGAGAAGCCTTATGAATACGGTAATTAAGGAAATAATTACTATACAAAAGAATACATACATAACGAAAGTAGTAATATAAATAATGTTACTATTTTCCGTAATTTGCGAGTATTATACAAACTTAACGATTTTGGAGCGACTGCCCGGAGACTTGGGTCTTATGAAGGGAGACAAAACCCAAAATAAATCAATAACGCACCCTTCAGCTTAAGCTATGTCTAATGTTATTAGTCCTGTTGTCCATATACGGCGTGCAACAGCGATAACTTTCTTTTCTAAAAAGTAAAGGAAAACCATTCCAGTTTTCGCAATGGGGCAAATGGCAAAAGATAATTTGTCTGTTGGAACTGTTTGAAGATAGAAGATAGCGGTTCGCTCGCTTTACAAGTCGCGGAGGTGTTAATTGTCAATGTATATTGTATAATGACAGCTAACGTCACTGACTTAACATTTATATCAATATCTGATCTATTGATATGGATATTTATAATTGGCTCACTTTTACTGTATCGTACTTAAATTATGTTTAATTTGGGGATTTTAAGTTAGAAAATATTGTATTGTCGTGAAATTAGTCAATATTTTTTTATATGATTAGGTCAGTTTATTGTCTAAAGATATCAATAATTAATTGCGGAAATGTCTGTATGATATTTTTCTTATAAAATATATTGTTCAAGGGTTATCAATGTCATGATTATAAATATTTGTGACGTGTTAAGTTTAATTTGTGATAGGTATTGACCTTTCGATATTTTAATCTATGAGTCATTTCAAAAACAATTGTCGAGAAGCTCAATCCATATAATATAAATAGATATTTATATTATATGGATTGAGCTAGACAGATGATAGACAGATGTCTACGATGAGCATATTGAATGCCAATAAACTAATCACGTAAATTGAAATATTATTCACACAATTGAGATTTTTCTTAAGTAAAGCAATATTTATGCTAATAATTGTAGATTTAAATGCAGACAGCGTTCGGTGGATCACGAACTTTACTGCACTTTCAATGTATATGTACAGATAGTAAATTGTTTTTGCACTTGTCTGCGCGTATTGATCGGACTACAGTAGGTAATGTGAAAGTAGACGAAAGAGTAGGATTAAACGGCTAACGCAAACATACTAATACGTATTGGCTTACAAAAATAAAAGAGAAAATTGTTTTTAATCAACTGTTTTTAATTTACGCAAATACTGCATATTTAAATAAATCTTCTTTAACGGATAATTATAATAATCCAATGGCACTACGAACCTTATTGAGTCTTGGCCTCAGATTGCATCTGTTTCTGTGAGCATTTTTATTTTTTAAGTAGATGATCAGACTTCTGCCTGACACATGTCGTAAATTTTTGGATTTGAGACATGCCGCGCCGGTTTCCTCGCGAGGTGTTCCTTCATCGTGCGAGTGAGCGTGATATAATGGAGTTTAGCATCAAGTTAATATTGATATTGTAAATAACAGAACTTTAAAAGTTTCTTTAGTTGGTTTGTTTGACTTTACATTGATGTTAATTTTATATATGTATATGGCGTATTTCTTAGAATTGTATATACTAATTTCCAAATTAAACAAGGGGTACTAATGAGATATCCTTTTTTGTGCATACGCCTGTAATGGCCAGTGAGTTAAATTAAAAAAAACAAGTTAAATTCGAAACAAAATCGATAAATTTATATCCGCCATATTCCGCAATACATTCATATTTTAAAAAGTGACTGCAATTATCAAATTATCAGATCAGAATATAATTCCGTCACCAGTATGGAATTTAAACTAAATCATTATTTATCAAGGCGTGGTACGATTATAATTTGTCGCGATCGTAAAATCTTTGCGTACGTTCCTGGTGTACATATTTGGCTTATACATATACATATGTGGAATAGTGCTATGAAATGGA